TAGTGATTCAAAAAGAGATCACAGAGAAGTGTTAAGAAAAATAGGTAATACAATAATCACACAACTTTCTGCTATAGGCTAAAAGTCTTGGGAATGGAGAGATGGATGGGACTTGGTGCCTTAACGTGTAATGCAGACAGGCTGTGACAGAGGTATGAGCTGTGACAACAAAGACCAGGTGACTGACAGCACTGGTGCTGGTGAGGGAGGGAGCGTAAAGAAGTCAGGAGAGGGGAAGGAACAGAGAGAATGTGGAGGAGAGGGGATGCGGGGAGGGACAATCACAGTGAGGTGCGTGTGGGGTTACGAGCAGAAACCTGGAGTTTAAGGAAGGCCTCAGCAGGCCCTGGGCTGGCGGCAGCATCCTTGCTGGGCTAACTCACAGAGCACGTCAGTGGGAACTCAGGGAGCACAAAGGATAAGGCCTTGATTTTACAGATAACCAGAGACGCTAACTGACCTGTTTTTGATGTTTTAACATGCAGTTATACTGTCATTTATTGATACTTTACACTTGTCAAATCATGTTTTTTGTCATAATTTAAAGGAAATTAAGAAGGATATTAGCCTATTAGATGGGGGAAGGTAAAATTATTATCCATTATTTAAACCTGTATTAAAAATAAACTTTAAATATAATCTTGAATATACTGATCCAAAAAAAGTTAACCTAAAACCAGTTTTTTAACATCTATTGTGGAGGAAAAAAAGACTAACAAGTCCCCACGGAGGTTTTTAAGAATGGATGTGGAAGGGGTGCCATCAGCCCAGGTGGTGGAGGCGGGACGGGGAACAAGCACAGGCCAGCTCTCCCACGCGTGGGGCAAAGCTGGGACCACAGTCCCAAGACCCCTGTCTGCTGCCATGGCCCTGAAGGCCTTCACAGTGCTAAATGTACCAAACGCTATTTTTATACACCAAGTTATACGTATGCCTGTCTGGAGGCAATTACCTCTATCACACCATCCATGTCACTCAGAAGTCACTGTGGATACACAAAGAGGACAGCACAGCAATGAATGGATTCACAAGTCCCACCCTCACAAAAGGAAGAAAAGCAAAGCCCATCTGTTTGTACAGGAATGTTCTAGTTTTCAGCAATTTTCAGGGTACTGTGACGCTACAGGGAGAAGAGCTACTGTCTCTTGAGGACTTCATATTATTTTGTTATAATATCATGCTTGTCAAAACACTTGATAAATAGAGGCCAAAATGGATCTCTAATGAAATATATGCAGCCTTATCTCAACATGATAGGATCGAGAGCGTGCCTATTAAACAGACCAAAACGGAACGCATCTGCTAAAACCTAAGATAAAACTAGACGCAAAGTGACCTCGACAAATTGAAACATCATCTATCAAATTAAATAAAAGAAGACAAGTTAGTGTACTTTTAATTTGTTCTCGAGAACATTAAGAAAAGGAGAATAAAAGCACGGCAAAGAAAACAGAAGAGGATCTTGCAGTCATACGGAACATCAGCTCAAAAAGCCAAGCAGCATAACTTTTTAAACCGTTTCTAAAAATCAACCCCTCACTGGGCTATTCCGCCTTCGCACGTGTCACTAAAGCTAAGTCAACCTTTACTCTGAGGGTAACGGAATGTTATCCTCCTCCCTTTCTGGCTCACTGGGTGGCTTATGAGAATAAAACAGACGTGCCGGTATCTAGAAAAATTAAATTCAATACACAAAGATTCTATTCTAAAAGAGGGATGCAAAATAAATAGAATGGGTTAAAGGAAGAGAAAGTTAATATTTTTAAAGGGCACTGGTGTAGTGAGTGAGCACAATACAAGCGAATGAGCTTAAAGCTGCATGAGATTTATTTAAGATTGGTCATGAAACTAATGCTATATGTCAATTATATATTAATTTAAAAAAAAAAAGACTGGTCAACTGTTTGTCTTCTGAAACCTGCTATTAAAGGAGATGGTGAAACGTGCAGTCCTGACGGAGTAGTCACAGGCCCCAAAAATCTAAGTTTAGTGCCTCTACTATATAGAAGAAGTGTAAGGACAAAAATACTTGCTTTTATAACATTTTATCTTTAAATGAAGCATGTCAACTTTTTGTCTCTTGGAATATGATTAACTTGAAGCAGTTTTGATACAGTTGAGACTGTAATTAATATTTTAAAAAACAAAAACTACTTTCGATGTTCTCGACAAAACAGCTTTGTGTGACTTTAACCATCTAGTCAGTGAAAGCTGTGGAGGACGGGTTAGAGAGAGAGACCGATTTACCAAATCCAGTGTGTTTGTTCCAATTATAACATTCCAGATTTCATTTTGAGATCAAAGCTGACAAGCAGTAGCCTAAGTTGTCACTTTCTGAAGACACGGAGTCCTATCAGGAATTTTAAGAGGCAGGCCTGTTGTTCCCCAACCTTCCTGGGATGGAGAGAACTGTGACCCAGGGTGGCTGCATCATTATCATCTTCTACTTTCTATGGACCAGACTTGGATTGAGACTCAGGATCTAAGGATTTGCTGGACAGCATTAGTCTGCTGATTATTGGCTACCAATTACTGCTATAGAATGTTCAAAAGTTTACACACAAAAATTACTCTGAGAGATGTTAATAATATTATTCTACCTTGGAATAAAGAAAACACTGGCAGATGGACAGGGACACACACCAAAAAGTAACAAACAAACAAAACAAACCCACCCAATACTCTAACTTTTAGAGGAAAGTTGGCAAGAAGGCCATCAACTGGGGCAAGATGATGATTAATGGATTATTGGTCAGAATTGACTATTTAAAGAATTTCGTACTTCAGGGTCTAAAATGTTATGTCCCTTTAGGACTTTTGCATTTTAAAATGTCACTGTGTTGAAGAAGTGACTCTGGGGCTGGCTCGCGGCCTAGTGGCTAAGTTTAGTGTGCTCTGCTTCGGTGACCCGGGCACAGTTCCCGGGCACAGACCTACACCACTTGTCAGTGGCCACACTGAGGCAGCAACCCACATACAAAATAGAGGAAGATTGGCATAGATGTTAGCTTAGGGCAAATGCTCTTCAAGTAAAAAAAAAGAGGAAGATTGGTGACAAATTTTAGCTCGGGGTGAATCCTCCTCAGCAAAAAAAAAAAAAAAGAAAAAAAAAGAAAAAAAGTAGATCTATTTCAAACTTGGCGTTTGGGAGTGACATTGATAATGGAAGAGAGGGAAAGAGGGAGGAATAAAGACCATGTGTGCGTGGTGGGTAGGGGGCGGGGGTCTTAGAGGGAAAGGCAAGCTCCTTGTTTGACTGAATTAGAATGTTCTAATTTAAAATACATATAAATTTCACATTAATTACATTTTGACTATAGTCTGAGTACTTCCTTTTTACCAGACACTTATAAGTTCTGGGGATAATGCAATGATAAAATATAGTGCTTTGGTGGGAGGAGCCATGAGAGAGCCAGCCACCTGGTGGCACAGAACCTGGGAAGGCACGGGTGTCCTAGAGTGAGGGATGCAAGATGTGCCCAAAACTAGAGCCTTAGCTCAAAGTCTGTAAGAGGAGTTAGGTCCCTAACTCAACCCAATTCAACAGGTAAGTGCCCCCCAAATGGATGTTCAGAGAAGAAAAACCTCTCGAAAATATCAGAAATGAAGATAAATAAATACAAGTTTAGATGATAAAGTTGAAGAAAGCATGGAGAAATTAGAACAGGAAGACAGAGAGATAGAACACAGAACAGGAGAGAAAAGATGAAGCCAGAGGATCAATCCAGGAGGAACAATACCTAATTCACAGGAATTCCAGAAAGAGAAAACAGAGGGAAGGAAATTATCAAAGGAGAAACATGACAAACTTCCAAACTGAAAGACATGAATTCACAGATGGCAGGATCTCACAGAGCAGCCAGCACAAGGAATGAAAAGATCTAGCTTGAGGCCTTATCGTTTTGACGTTTCAGAAAGCTAGAGAAAATGAGGAGATCCTCAGACCTCCAGAGGAGAATGACAGAACACAGATGGAGGACTAAAAATCAGAACACTCGAAGCCAGAGGACAAGTCAAGAGCCAGTGACTCCAAGACAGCGAGAGAAAACAATTTCAAATCTAGAATTCCATGCCAAACCAACCCTGAATTAAACATGAGGACGGGATAAAGGCATGTTCAGATGTACAAGATCCTAAAGGATTTACCTCCCATGCACCCCTTCTCAGAAAACTACTAAAGGAAGATGCACTCCATTAAATGAGGGCCCAGGCTAGGAAAGGCAAAGACGGGGGCGTCGGGAAACCGTACCCAACAGAGGGAAGAAGTAAATGATGAGATGACGGATGCCTCAGGATAACAGTCATGAAACAGACCTAAAGAATAAGTACCCCAACTGGAAAGTTTGGATTAGAAAGATGTAGTTCAAGAAAATAAAAACGTGAATTCATAGTTCTAGAGAAATGAAAAGGTTCAGAAGAAAGGAAATATAACCATAGTATAGTTCATACTAAGCAAACAGTCAGATGTTGAAAAATGAGAAAAAAGGATCGATGAATAAGACAAATAGCAGTAAAAACTTATTGTGTGGGAACAGAGGAAACTGGCAGAGCAATCAGGTTAGAGGAGTTGGGAGCAGGGAGGTCTGTTTTGTTTCTGGTGAGGAAGATTCGCCCTGAGCTAACATCTGTGCCCATCTTCCTCTATTTTTTGTATGTGGGATGCCTCCACAGCTTGGCTGATGAGTGGAGCAGGTCCACACACAGGATCTGAACCAGCAAACTAGGGCCGCCGAAGCAGAGCAACCAGAACTTTCACCACTAAGCCACGGGGCCAGCCCCAGGGACGTCTGTTTTAATAAACTGCACAGCACTAGGTAAAAATAAGTTAAATTCTCCAAATTACTTCATTTTCAGTCCATCATTTGGGCTTAGAGGCTTTAATTGGAGGAATTACCAAGTGATATGTAAGAACAAAAAGAAGACTAAAACAAGTAAGGGTAGAAGAAATGGAACCAGAAAGAAGCAATGAAAAGGGCTGGTAAGGGATTTCTCGTACTCACCATCTCTCTGGCTATTTCCAGCGCTTCCTGCAGGCCATAGAGCCTGCCACAGACCAGGTAGATTCCATTGGCCCAGAGAATACAACCCTCGTGGACCCAAAATTCATTGCTGTCAAGAGGTAGTTCAGGGATTTGTAACTCCAGCTCAGGGCCGCCTTCTGAAGTGGTGGGCACGGAGGGCTTTGAGTCCAAAACTGTCTTTTCGCTGCTGCCCTCGGTGGTTGCTTTTTTACAAGGGAGCCCCCTGGACAGGGATCGAGGGCCTCCTCCACAGTCTTCAGAGCGGTGTCGCCGCTTAAACCTGGGGTGGGCGGCCAGGCTCCTCTGCTCCTTCTGCTGCTGCTGCTGCTCTTCCTCCTCCTCAGTGTCCGTCTTGGAGCCATTCGAAGCGCTTTTGTGCCGTACCTTCACTTTGCTCTGCATTTCCATGGCTCTCTTAGGAGGCGGATTCTTCGGGAGAGTGGCTGCATAATCTTGGGGATAAAAGGGTCCAAAAAGGTCGCCCATGTTCCGGTAACTGGCCCATTTGCCACACAGACAGCAAACCAGGTGCCCCATAACAGAAGACTCTGTCACAACAGGTCCCTGCAGCATAAAGGACGAAGCTGGGAGCACCTTGCTTTCAGTGCTGCTGGGTGGAGGGGTCAGAGACCTCGGACCCTTCCGACCCCTCACCAATTTGGTCTGTTCTTCTTCTTCTGCATTGATGATTGTACAAACGGCTCCAAGTTCACACTTGTTTACTACATGGATGTAAGGGAAAAAAGACTTGTTCTTGGCATCAGTTTTATCCAGTGGCTGGGTGGCGTACTTTAGCTTGATCTCAGGTTCTTGGGGTTCTACAATGGGAACTGCTTGTTTGGTTTTCCGCTTCCTTGGCTGTGCCCCAGGCTTCCTTCTCTCTCTTCTTTGCCTCTGCTTTTTTGGCTTGGGCTCTCCATCTGCGGAACCTTCTGGTATCTGAGGGGGCTGAGGGGGTGGAGGCGGTGGCTGCTGTTGTTTCTTTTGCTTATTCACACTACCAATGGGTCTCCCCTTCTTCTTTCCTGATGGAAAATATCCCTTCGGGGGGAAACCCTCTTGTTTGGGGGAAATCGTCACTGTATCGTTCTCCTTCTCTTCAGCCTTGGGGTTTGCCTTTGCCTCAGAGACCAATACGCCCGCTGGAGGTACATTCTTTGAGTCAGGAAAGATTAAAGGTGCTGCCCCACCCAGGGAGCCATCTGGTCTCCCTTGGTTACTTCCAGGCTTCTGTGAGGTTGCCGATGTCATGGCACCAGAGGATTCCTTTCCACCCGTGATTGCATCGGGGTGTGTCTCGGTCTTCACTTTGTCGTCCCCACTACCACGCCACTCCTCTGAAGACCTTGCAAGAGGCTTTTCCACGTTCAACTCCTGGTTTTTCGGACAGACCAGGTCAGATACAACCTCACCTTTTCTCTTCTCCATCTCAGCATCCTGAACAGTACCACCTCCACCTTCGGGAGGGCCACTCTTCAAAGACAGTATGTCATCGAGAGTCACCGTGTCTCCCCCAGCCTCCGCGCTGTTTGAGGATGCACTCCTCCTGATGTTCGGGGACGTGATCTTCTGAACTATAGCTTCCAGTTTCAATCCCCGTCCTTTCCGTGGGGGCAGTATTTTGGTCTTAGCAGGACTTGTGAGAGTGACAGCAGGGCAGTTCCTACTGTCGGGACTTGGAAGGTCCTTGGAGGACTCCCTCTTGGGGAGAGACTTGATATCCTGACTGTGAGAAAGATGGGCATAGGAGTTGAATGCTTTATCAGCGCCTTCTTTTGAGGGGTGAAGGAGGCGCCCTTTATCTTCAGGGTTACTGTTCTTCACATCTTGTGAGTGTCTCTTACTGGGGATGGGAGAGATAAAAGAACGGACACGCCTTCTCATGATTAAGGGGTTTTGAGAAGAATGATCCTCTTGACCTGGAAGCCTTAGCATAACGTTACTAGGTTTGGATGACTGTGTAGACTCAGCTAGTCCATGTCCATCAGTCTCCAGGGGTGGTCCATACCTTTTTTGACTGGACATTCCTGGAGGACCACTGCTTTTGGCTGGAGAAGTTTGCCGAGAAAGATCCCAACAAGATTCTTGCTGTAACTTCTGGGAGCCATGCTTCAACTCAATGCCTTTGTTAGACAGACCATCACTAGACATGAGGCAGCGCCCACCTTCCTGACCACTGGGGTCATGGTACGTCCCCATGGGTGGGCCATACATCATACCGTCTTTGTCATTTTTTAGAGGGCTCCGGACTCTGTCAAGAAACTGCTGCTGCCTCGGGCTCTTCCTCGGCCCCTCCTGCCTGTGCTGTGCCGCAGCGATTACTCCCTGAGCAGAGCTGCTGCCCCAGTCTTTATATTCCTCTTGCTGCTGTTGGTACATCTGTCTCTTATAATGGAGCTGAGAATTCAAACCTGCACTGGGGTCTCCATAAGCATGAGCACGAGTGTTTGTGTGATAAGCAGAGGCCAGGCTTTCTGAGTTGGGAGAAAAGGGAGCGTGTAAAGAACTCCTGTTGGCCCTCTCTGAAAAGGTCATGTGGGGGTTCATGTGATGAGGGTCTCCCCCTGGGCCTCTGCTCCTCCCAGGAGACATCTTCAATTTTTCTGAAAAATCATGATACTGAGAAGGGGACCGACCCCTCATGCCCTCCCGACCACCAACTCTGCCGGGGACCCGCCGCATTGGTGTGGGTCTGCTGTCTTGTGGGCCATAGTCTGAGATGGAGTCATGGGCTGCTGCTCCAGGGCTGGCATTGCCCCGGTAAGACTCATGCTTGATGCTCGTATGGCAGTGGTCTCCAGATTTCTTGTTGTTGAAACTAGCTTGGGATTTGGATTGTTCAAAGTCTTCTTCTTTTATCTGCCCACTCTGGGATTTCAGCTTTGTTTCCATGGACACCAACCCACCTGGAAGAATGACCGACTGACTTAAACTTGGATTGAGACGTTCATTCCTCCCAAGTCTGGTATCAGTGCCCATGTGTCCCAATGAGTGAGCTGCCGGGTCCCTGACAATCTGTCTTAGTGGAGAAATATCACAGATCACTGATCTTCTTTCAGAGAGGGAACCCCCGGGCTCATGGGCTGATGACTGAGGCTCTATTTCAAACTTTCTGGGAATTGGATAGTCAGCCAAATTGATCTGTTTCATTTCAGGAGCCGTGTTGCTTGATTTCCTTTCCCAAGGGCCCCAGTGGGGGTTTTCTAATAGGGACCCAATGCTTTTGTTCAAAAGGCCCCTGCTAGCTAATTCATTGGTTTGACTAACTAAGACATTAGGCCTCGTGGCTCCTTCTAGGCTCCCCGCCATGCCCTGATGCTCCTGAGCACTCCTAGAGTATCTCCTGTCAGGGTGGTGGTGGTAACCCTGAAGCACTTCCTGCAGGAGGCTGGGGAACTTCTCATTTCTACCCTTTCGCTCCCCGTGGCCACTGAAATCCCCCTTATCTTGTCCTGTAGGGTACTGAGGAAAGCCACTGACATTTCTTGGCATGGCTGACCCAAAACTATCTTTGTAACTATAGCGTAGGCTTCCAGGAGATTTGCTAGGCTCAGTTCTGCCTATAAAACCAGGGCCCACTGCGGAGTGCCCGCTCTGGCCATTGCCATCTCCATTGTGGTTGGAGTTATCTCCATTCTTGTTTCCTTTGCTCCCTCCTCCCGGAGGGTCTGGCTGGGGAAGTGATGTGTGACTGGTTTCCTTTGCTCCGCCAGTGCTGGGTGGCCTTTGAGTGGCTGTAGGATCATCCTCCTGGGAGCCTTTATCTTGTCCACTGGGCTTTTCTACTCGACTTGTCATGGCTTCCCGGGAGACAATCACCCCAACTGTCTTCTCATTGACTTTTGGGTTGCCCTCAGATGACAATGATGCATCCTTAGCACCAGGCGAGGCAGCCTCTTCTCTGGCTGCAGGACTGGCACTGAGTCTGGGGGCTTCATTCTGAGCGCCTTGTGCTGGTGAGGAGCCAGCTTTCTCGGAGGCTCCACCCTTGTAGGTGGTGTCAGAGCTGGTGCTCTGGCCACTTAGCTGCCTCACTCTCTCGCCTTGGTCTTCAGAACTGCTGGAGCAGCCTCCATCCAGTGACTCTGCCATGGGGGACTTCAGCTGTTCTTCAGGCTGTGAGGAGCCTTCGGAGTTTGTGCAGCTGTCTGCTTTCTTAGAGGATGAGGAGGGCCTCTTAGAGGTCTTCTTCTGAGGTGTCAGGGCATCAGAAAGTAGCATGTGCTGGACAGTATTAGGAAGATTGGCCACTTGAGTACTCAGGGCACTCAAACTACTCAACCCAGGATCTGTCAGTCGCTTTTCTGGCACTCCTTCTAGTCCAAACCCTTTGAAGCCTGCAGCATGAGAATTAGGACTGGGCATCATTGATGGCGTTGGGCTGAGTTGAGGCATTAACTGTAAAATTCTGTTTCTGGAACCCACGGGCACATTGCCTTGCCCACACTGGAGATTCTCCCCACTCTGCATAAGAGGAGATGGGGTAGAGCTACAGCTTGGAGACTGAACCACAGAGGCAGCTGGGGAAGGGTTAGAAATGGGGCTGAAGTTCTGGTGAAACTGCATGGGGGACCTCACAGGAACCTCGGGCTGGCTGTACTGCCCCACCTGGCTTTGCAGGGGCAGTTTGGTGGCAGTGTTGCTGTACTGCATCACATGCTGAGGAGGGTGCTGCTGCTGCTGCTGCTGCTGCTGCTGCTGCTGTTGTTGTTGCTGCTGCTGCTGTTGCTGTTGTTGTTGTTGTTGTTGTTGTTGCTGTTGTTGTTGCTGCTGCTGCTGCTGCCCCTGCTGGGTCCCTTGTGGAATCTTTGCTTGTTCAAAATTTTTCAAGGATTGAGGCTGATAGCTATAATTTGACTGTGTTCCATAAGCCTGTGCATTAGAACCCACATTATGTCCTTCATACTGGGATCCAGCATTCACACTGTAACTGCCATCATAGCTCTGCCCAGACTGGCTGAAACGCTGTGGTGAAGGGAAGGAGGAGGAGGAAGAGGAGGCGGCAGAAGACTGGTAGTGTTGGCCAAACTGACCTACTCTTAACTGGTAACCAGTAGCAGAGGATGGTAGAGTCGAGGGCCGCTGCATTGGTTGCAGATGGGAAGAGCCGGATGCTGGCTGGCCAGTGGCTTGTGGCAGAGGCTGATGGGACTGGTAAAGCTGTTGTCTCAACTGCTGTACTTGCTGCTGCTGCTGTTGGCTGGAGGCCTGCTGTTGGTACTGAGCACTCCCTGGAGAGAAAGGCCCCGTGTAATCCTGCTGATAATGAGACACACCACCAAGGGCAGAGTGCTGTGCTTGAAACTGGCCCACGTGACCCTCACTCCCATACTGATTGCCAAAGCTGCTCCCCTGGGGGGGTCCATAGCTCTGCACAGGCCCAGAAGGCCTTCGCTGAGGAGGCTGCGGGGTTCCTGTTGCCACGGGGTCTTTGTTGCCTGCCATGTAGTAGAAGTCTCCAGCCTCCTTCCTAAAACCCTGGTAGCCCTGATGGCCAGAGGTTTCACTAGCCATGGCTGCTGCAGCAGCTGCTGCTCCTCGCCGTCCACCACCACTGCTGCCACCACTGCCACCACTACCACCACCTGCACCCCCAAAATTCTGGAACATCTGGGCCTGACGAGGGCTGAACTCTTCTATCCGGGATGAGCTGTGTACCTCCTGTGGGTAGCTCTGCTGGTTTCCGTGGTAACTGCTTTGCTCCCGAAAGGACTGCATACTGTTCAGCAGCACAGCAGCAGGCCAACAGCCCTCCTGGAAATGGAAGCAAAGAAAGAAAAACATTAGACAGGCATCTCCTCAGTATAAATAAAATTAAGTCTAGATGATGGAGGGGAACGATAATACAGATGCCCAGATGAAGCTGACTGGTTTGAATTTCATCTCCTTTTATTTCTTATCCTATCCATTCCGAAAATGCAAATAAGCAGAGAAATGGCCTAAAGAGTGAGGCAGGAGCCCATGGCAGTATGAAAAGAAACACTCTGGGTAAATACAAATTCAATACAATAAAAAAATCTCATTATTGTCAGATAAATGAGACCCCCAAATTCAACTGGGTTAAACTATGGGGCTGTGTTATTACTGTCAATAAAAAATCAGCAATTTTTAATTCAGTTTTCCAGTTATGGTAGGGGAGGGGTAAGAAAAAACACTTTCACTTATTTGTTTTCATGTATGAGACCGATCACTGGACTGAGAATCTCAAATAGCGAGGCAGTCACTCCACTGGCTGGCCCTTCCCCCCAGCTTTCAGAAATGGAACCGGCTTGCAAACAGAAGTCAGTCCCTTAGATCCAAACTCAAATTATTGTAGGTTTACTGTAATTACCAACTACCTCGATGACTGGTGACCACAGGACACTCAGCTCAGCCCTACACGGCTCCCTCACTGCTGCAGTCATCCACACAGACTTAGGGGCTAACCTCTTCTTGACACATAATCGTGTCCGAGGCATGACTCCCAACCACGCATCCTCAGTTCCCAGGGACAGAGGGCTGGGCAGCATAAGCCAAAGTAGCAGTGACTATGCTTCCAGATTCCTTTTGGAGGTTTGCAAGAAGTTCCAGCACCTCTAACCCCCACGTAGTTTTTTATTTGCCAGTCTAGTATTCACAATATTATTACTGGCAATTACTATGGAAGAGGGAATTGAAACACTGTGGAGAACCGCAAAAGATACAGAGGAAAATAAGAATTTATCAAGCCCAGGATGCTTCCCAAAGTCATGTGACTGGGTCAACACTTTGCATCATCTTTGCCAATGTAATTAGCATGTAAGGTAACGCTCTTCTTAAACAATTAATCAAGAGCTGATTTTATTTGGTCTTTTGCCTGGGCTTGTCTCCTTCAGAGTCAGAGATGAATAAGACAAGGCCAAGCTGCTCCAAATGACTTTAAAATCAATTATTTAAAGAAGATGTTATGAAACACACATGGGCTAGGGTAAGTTAGGACAACGTTTTCCCACGGTGGCTTATGAAGCTAGTTTCTTAGTTCCCTCTGCTGGGGGAGCAGAAAATGGAAGTGCCAGCAGGAAAGTCAGTGATCCTTTTGAAAGGTAAGTGGGATTCCCGGCCTCCAAGCCCTGCAGTGGCTCCCCATCTCCATCCAAGCAAGCTGGTCTGGGAGGCCCCGCCCCCACCCCACTGCCTCGCTGACAGCCCCTCCCCACCACTCGCAGCTCTGGTCCCACTGTCTCCTTGCTCCTGGGACAGGCCAAAAGCATTTGACAGAGGAATCTGCTTTCCCCTCCTCCATAGCCACATGGCTTGCCCCTCTTACATCCTTCCAGTCTCTGGGCAAACTTCACCTGATTGGTAAGGCCTTCCCTGGCCATCCTATCAAAAACAGCTAACCCCACACCCTCCCCTGGGCTTTCCTGATCTCCTTCCCCCGCTTTATTTCCTCCCCAGTCTTATTCCGGACAGACAGAGATACGCTCCTTGTGTACTGTCTGTCTCTCCCTCACTAGAATGTAAACTTCCTAAAAGGCAGAGACTTTGTGCCTTGCCATAATCCTCAGGCCATTAAAACAGTAAGAAGCACATGGCAGGCATTCTGTGAGCCAGTAAATGGTACAAGAATTAGGCCTCAGAGAGCTAGGCTAGAACTTAGATGCTCAGAGGTGGTGGTGTGGCGGTGAGGTGAGAGAATTACAGGAAGATAGATCAACCTAAAAGCAGAGCTGGAGGAAGCTGATGTCCCCACCTGAAAAATTCTCCGGGTCCAGTTCCAAGGGGAAAAAAACCAATTTGAGTCCATGCAGCAACTTCAGAAAGTAAACATGGATCATAGCTCAAGATGGTCAGTAACTCCAAACTCTGAAAGCCTGACCCACTTCTTCCTGAAATATCCTGTCTGAAATTGCCAGACAAAGGCCTACTACTTTGATATTAAGTTTGATGATATAATCACATGACCCAAAGTCATCTTTAAACACTCAAGTACAAACAGTCTCAGACTCTAAAGGAAACCACTTCTCATCCTCTTCAAACTGCTTCTGCAGCAGACTATTCTCTGTGTTCCAACGAATCTGCTGGGCAGCAGACAGCAGCTACCAAGTGCTGACTGTAATGCTCGATGCTGCACCAGCACTTGAGGCGCACTCACTCATTTAACCCTCACAAGGCCAGCATCCGCCTTTTGCAGATGAGGAAACCGAAGCATAGAGTCCACCAGCCTCCCGAGCACTGGGCCTGGCAGTCGGTGCCCTCAGGCCGGTTCTCCACACCACACTACCAAATGATCAATGATGCGGTCCTATCAGACAGAGGTCAGCCTTGAAAGTGAGTGACCACCAACAACACTTGCAAGTACGGCCCTCCCCTGCCTCCCCGTCACAAGGACCTCCCCCATGGTCTAGCTCCGTCAGGAAGGATCTGTCCACACCTTTTTGTCCTGTGCTTCTACCCTAGCTCTTACCCAACTGGGACCTTCTCACAGGAGAAAAGGTGGCTGATGGGTTAAATTGACCAAAAAGACTAAATCTGGCAGTTTAATGAAAAGCTTCCTCAGGAGAGAATCTCTCCATAAATAAATACTTTACATGTTGTTTAAGTAACCCTTCTAATCAGGCCTCTGAAAATCTGAGGATATAAACTTACTCCAAATTTTCCCTAAACAGGAGCTCCTAAGAGCTGAAGACCACCTTAACAGCACACCCCGCCTCAGGCTGCCCGGCTCCTGAGAGGATCCTGTCTCCAGAGAGGGAGACAGATTTTGGTACAATTCCTCCGGAGGCCTGTTTTCAGCCATTCTCTGAGATTCTCTGTCATGTACGATGTCGTTCTCCTCCCTATTATAATTCTGGTTTATAGACTAGACGAAAAAAAAATTCACAGCCAAATACCTCCCACAGGGTACCACTCAAACTAAATATTCTCAGTATCTGTGAAGTATCTGATCACCAGAAAGTGGGTGCAAGTTCATCTTTTTTTGGGAGTTCCAAGTAAAGCAATTAGGAAAACCAAGTATACCAGCAATTGAAAATGTAAAGCCAGAGTATTCTAGCTTTACATTAGCATATAAAATAAGCTACTAATAGGTCATTCCAACACTAATCCATCACTTAAAAAAAGCAAGCTTCAGTGTAATCAGTTTTAAAGCATCATGATTAATAATGACAAATGCCCGAATGTCCTGGTGTGAATAAAGAAAATCTGACACTCCAAAGGAAGTAAGTCACCCATGAGAAATCTGTATACATACTCTGAAAGAGAGGTTTACCGACACGCCTCCCTCCCCAATGCCCCCTTTCCCTGACTTGCCCCTTTCCTGGTTTTCTCATATTTTCCTAACTTTCTGAATGGTTTCAGAAAGGCTGTGGAGGCACACTAGCGAGGTCCAGAACTTAGTGCCTCTATGTTTGATGGTCCAGAGCCCACACCGACCTGGCCACAAGCACTGCTCCCCACCTGCACCCTTCATGCTGTCACGGGGCCAACAACCTTGCTGTCTTATAGAAGACCAACATTAGCTTTCTTTGCCATTCTTCAAGTGTCCAACATCATCTCACTCTCCAATCCATTCTCTTCTCCAGAAAGTTCTCCAAGCTGTCTTCTAGAAAGTTTCCTCAAGAGATCTTTTCAACTACCTGCTTCCTCTTTCATTTCAGGTTTAACCATTGATTTTCTGCTTATTCTCCTTCCTTGCCATGAAAAAATGCTTCAGTCCTCAAGATATTAACAACATATATGCTTCTAGTTATGGCCCCTGTCTGGTGGATTATTGTTTGTCCTCCAGCCTCACTCCTCACCCAACCCCACCACCCTGGGAGGGGGCACAGTAGGGACTGTCAAGAGGCTCCACTGTCCCTCCGGCTTCCGGCCCAGTTTCGCTGGAAAGAGGCAGGAAGAGAGTGAGAAAGAAGAATTTACTGTCCTGGCCCTTACCCCACAGTCTCTGGGGCTGGCTGAGACGTTCCACCAACGGCCACACTCCAGCTGGGCAACTTAAACAGCCACTTCCCCAGGCTCCAGGAACTGCTTCCTCCTCTGGCCTTTCAGGCCAAGGGCTAGTAACAACTCCTGCTACTGCTGGTCCAGGAGACTCCACTTTCTCCACTGGTGTTTCCAAACCCTGCTCCCCTTCGTAAACAGTCCCAGTTCTGCACTGTGGTCAGCTCAATAGCATCGTGATCACTGTCTTTCTAAGTTCTATTCTGCAGGTCAGAAGCTGGGAGCTACCTTTTCAGAACCCCTTTTCCAGCATGGTTCTGGGTTAGAGTTTGCAAAGAGAAGCACAAGAGAGATTTGGAGGCAGAAGAAAAGGAGAGGGTGATACTCCCAGAGGTAGATGCAGCAGACGCGGTTTCCCAGCGGCTTCCTAGGAGCTCAGGAGAACCATTCACCGTGGTGCTTCAGTCTGCCATGATCAGGAGCAGCTTCCCTGACATTCCCCACCCCGGTTCTTAATTCCTCTCTCAAAACTCTTCATACCTGGAATAGAAAGCTTCCCTTTTCCTGAACGAACTCTGAATGATACAATTAAATGCTCCTAGAATTACCCAGTTTGAGCGTGCCATCTGTTTCCGACCAGGACCCTGACTAATATAGTTCTTCTCTCGTTCCTAGGATTTCAGAGTAGAATATTATCACTCGGGGAGTGAGAGACTTCTATTTCATGCAATATGGCATACCAGAGGGACTAAAAATCCTCCCTCAACAAAACACCTAGAAATGTCAGTCAAAATGCACAAACTGCAAGAAAGCAAGAAACGTCTAGGGTTCAAAACTGGATGGGAGGGGCTGGCCCCGTGGCCGAGTGGTTAAGTTCGCACGCTCCGCTGCAGGTGGCCCAGTGTTTCCTTGGTTCGAATGCTGGGTGCGGACATGGCACTGCTTATCAAACCACGCTGAGGCAGCGTCCCACATGCCACAACTAGAAGGACCCACAACAAAGAATATACAACTATGTACTGGGGGGCTTTGGAGAGAAAAAGGAAAAAAATTTTTAAAATCTTAAAAAAAAAAAATTAAAAAAAAAAAAAAAACCAACTGGATGGGATACCCAAAACACAATAGCAGCAGGTACCGGGCTCTGCATGTGAGGGATGGGGTGGGGTACTGGCTGCAGGACTTAGTAACCATACCGCAATGGTTTCAATGACCAGCAGAGACAGAAGACAAGGTCTGTAGCCCTCCGTAGGTGGTAGTGGGGAGACGAAACGGTCACTTCTGCATATAAAGACTTGGAGCAGTGTCACATGTGCCTGGAATAATTTCTATAAAGATGACAAAATATATTTATTCTTAGGCAGTCACCAACTCATTTTCAATGACAAAACTGTCCTTTCTTCAACTCACCCACTTCCCATTCTCAAGGAAAACCATGATCATCTCTCAGACAGTCCAAGTTTTTTAGCTTCAGAACAACCCCACACTCACCTCCTCCTCTCCTCTTTGCATTGATGGAACCTAATCCTGCTACTTCTCCACCTTCTGTGGAGGCGTATCTGCCCTTTACCCCTCCAGCCATGCCAGTGCCATTGTCATCTCTCTTGGACCAGAGCAGCACCTGCAGAAGGTCTCTTCCTAGCACTAACCACCTGGGACAGCTTTTCTTCACCTGTGACTTGGACAGTGCTGCCCTCTCCACCTGCCTTGAAGCCCTCTGGCCGTTCCCAAGCCACTTTCTGCTCCTCTCCGCCCTCTCCAGCAAACCTGCTCAGCCCCTGTGCCACCACCCCCCTCACCGTGAAGCCTTCTCTGACGCACCCCTAGGGCCACAAATCCTCCTACCATGTCAGGTCACCCAGCTCTCATAATCTCAAGAGCTCCTGAAATGTGATCTTCTCCACAAGTCTTCCTTAGAGCAGAGAATTCGTTGGCTTTTCTCCACTCAGTAAAAACAAAACTTAGTAAATTTGCCTTTAACCACTATCTAAGGTATGTGCTATTGATGCCATAATAATTACTATTTACTCTACATGTTAGGCACTGTGTGGTTTTACATATATTTCAACTTATGGACAAGGAAAATAAAACTAGCTAAATTATGTAATCTGCCAAAAATCACTCTTCTAGGATAAACTGGAGCTGATACTCTAAAACTCAAATTCTTTTGGTTCTAACGCCCATGTTCGTTTCTTTCACTGTACCACAAATTGAACAAGAAGCACCCAAATCCAGGTTTTCAAAAATCCTGACAAACATTTGTATCAGATCTATACTAACTACGGTTACTGCCTATTTACTGCATGTCTGACACAAGTCACACACTGTACCCAGTGCTTTACATAAATGTTAATGGATTTCATCTTCACCATGCTCTAAGAAGTATCAGTGCGCCTTTCTGTAAACTGAGGCTCAGACAAGTTAAACAAGAAAAGAATTCATAGTAAACAGAGAGGTGTGGTATGGAATGCCCCCTAGAATCCAGTCTGTCCTTCTGGCAACAGCAGCAAGACGCTCACAGATGGAGAAGCATTTTAGAAAGGACTCTTGAAATTTGCTAGACTGGAGTTGACAGGTCACACGTGGAATATCTATGTTATTTGCTTTATGTGTGTGCAAACATGGGATCTTCCTAAGTAGATCAGACACAAAGATTTGCCCAGTGACTTGATTTGATATTTCAAATTCTATGTCCAGTTTGCAGACTGGCAGAGCCTAGATCCCTCTCAGTGACTAACAGGCGTCTCAGTACAACTAGGCCTTTAGAAGAAGATGATGTGCTGATGGTGCTGGCTTGCTCCCTGGCTTGGGAGCCCACAGACCAGCTTAAGGAACCAACTCAGCCAGAATTTGAAGAGTCAGTGGTGTAGAGGATAGGAAGTCCACCAGAATGCCGCAGATCCAACAAGTCTGCTCTCTGAGGGTTCAAGCTGCCCCATATTAGCCATGCAAGCTATAAAAACACCCACCTGCAACCATGATCAAACACATGCTGGCAAAAATGGGGACACAAATTTATAGAAATTAAACTTTTCCACAAAACTAAGAGATAATATCTCATCTGATGAGGTTATTAGGCTAAAGCTGGTACAAACAGTAACAAAAGCAGCAAAAGCAGCATAAATTATTACGACTCTTTAGAAAAGCATTTTGGTAATAAAAATACTCATATATTTTGACCTAGTAATTCTATTTACTAGATTTTTATCCTAGGGAAATCTCAAAACAACCAACCAGACAAAAATCAAAGTACCAACATATTCACTTTACGGATAGCTCTAAGAAGAAAAGACTGCTAAGAATGTAATTCTTTATACTTTGAAAATGATTAAGCAAATTACGGTATATCCACTCAATGAAATAGTACATTAAAATATAAACAAAATATACGTATTTTTATATATAAAATATAAATATAAAAATAATTGCAAAGATTCTAGCCCTATGAGAAATGCTTAGTACGTAGAGTCAGATGAAGGAAAGCAGCATACGAACTCATACTGTGCTATGGTTACAACTATCTAGAAATCAGATGTTTATCTGGTCTAAGGCCAAAGAGAATAGTACGGAAAAATGAAAACCTTTTCACTATTCAAGGTGGCAGGATTGTGGATGGATGCATTTTCTTCCTTTTCATTTCAATTTACATTAATGCTCGTGTAGAAAATAATCACTTTAAAATTTCATTAACCCCATTTTAAAATGTGCCCCTCACACCATCTCAAAAATGTCTTTGCTCTACTGACAGCAAAGCACTTCCCTGTCCAGGGGGAAGAAAGGGAGGCACAGGAGACCTCTCAAATCCAGAGGCAGGTCAGGGAGAGAGGCATTTGTCAGACAGAAATCTCTGCTCCAGGAAACCTGGCACCAACACTACACACACATCGTGGGGCCCAAGCAAGTGTGCACACAGAAATCAGCACTCCAAGCTATTTTTCAGAATCAGGCCTAAAAACAGCTGAATTCCACCACACAGTGGGCAGGCCTATTTTTAGACAGAATCTCAAACAGCCAAGAGGCCGCAGCATCCAATCTCCAGCATGCTTCTGCCACTGCACAGAAATGCCCTAAATCTGCTCCTGGACAGGCCAAGGGAGCCTGGGCGACATTCCTGCTCGATGGCTACCTGTCCTGTACTCTCAAGGGCATCCCAAGATCAATTTAGATGACCACATTGGTGGGCAGGACGGCCAACAGTTCTTGGAAAGGGGGCAGGAGAAGGATGGGGGGCCAGTGGTAGCTCTGGGGCAGCTGGGGCTCCCCGTGGGTTTCTCCTAACTGTTGAGGCCTGAGGGCATTTGAGATGTGACTGAATTTTTTTGCTCATCTAAAAGTTGTATGAGTACATAATTTCTAAGCCTTCCCAGACAGAAAGATCACAGAAAGCAATCAGTGTTGCTATTTACAGGCAAAAAGTGTGTTTCATTTTATAATAGCAACAAAATTACATACCAAAGAACTAATTCAAAGCAGAAGTGAGCAAAAGCTACATGATGAAACTTAACTTTACTGAAGAATCCAAAAGAAGAGCTCAAAACAAGACAAAATAAAGCAGAAGAACACATACTATATCTAGACTAAAAGACCCAGGATCATAAAGGGGTCAAGTCTCCATAGTTTAGTTTATAAAACTCACAGCATTCCATTCAAAATCTCAATAGGGTCTTTAAAAAAATAATTTATTTTGAAATAACTTCAAATGTACAGAAAAGTAAAAGAATAGTATAGTGCTCACATACCCCCTGCAACAAGATTCTCCAACTGATAATGTCTTACGTCATTTACCCCATCACCTATACATACTCATTACCTGCATATACTCATTACCTTTTTCCTGTCTCTTTGAGAGCAGGATGAAGGCAGGAAGCCCCATCACCCTAAACACTCTAAATGTACATTTCTAAAATCAAGGACACTCTTCTACATAACCAGCATAGGACCCTCCACATCAGGAAATCAACATTCATACTACACCGCCAATCAAATCCACAGACTCCATTCAAATTTTGTAAACTGTTCCAACAATGTTTCTTTTTCCTCTCTGGAGCAGGATCCCATCCAGGAACAGAAGTTGTCACATCTCACCAGTATCTTGTCAATCTGGAATAGTTCCTCAGTCTTTTCCTGACTTCCATGGCCCTGGCAGATTCTGGAGGATGGCCCTCAACCTGTATGTCCAGAGTCAGGCCCCGCTTTCTTAGCAGCGCTACCAGAGATGCGGTGCTGTGCTCTTTCCAGTGCGTCATGTCGAGAGGGACGGATGGTGAGCCATCCCTCCAGTGGTGATGTTAACCACTTTCACCTGGTCAAGTTCGTCTCTGCTGCGTTTCTCCACAGTAAAGCTACCACTTTACTCTTTCTAACTGGTATCTTGTGGGAGAAATCCTGAGATTATGCCAATGCCTTGTTTTCGGTCAAGCATCCACCCACTGATGACTCCCATGTAATTCAACTACCTCTAAGATGTCTGCCCAATGGTGATTTTCTATCCATCAGTAGTAGGAGAGCTGTCCCTCCTCACTTATTTATTCATTCACTTAGTTCACACTCAAATTATCCCAGATTTGACCAGTGGAAACCTGTTCAAACTAGCTCCTGTGTCCTTCTGACATCTTCCATTCTTTGAGCATTCCCTTACTTCCTGGCACAAGATGTTTCAGCCTCATCTTATACTTTCCCTGCCCCGACCCCTGGAACTAGCAATTTCTCCAAGGACATCTGATACCTTTTAGAGGAGGATAATATTTAGAAATAAAGATCTGGGTGCTAGGATTGTTCGCTGCTACTGGGATGTCACTGCTTCTAGCAAGAAAATCTTCTGTACATACGTTAACACCCACACCTATAACTCCTCCTATATCTACTGTGTCTCTATGTTAAAGAACCATGACTTCATCTTGGTACCTGTAATTCCAATCCAACACCCTCAGGGTTTTTTCTAATCTTCCCTCCTTCCATGTTTGTAATCTCCTCCTCAGACAGGAACAAACCTGGCTCCCACTATCCTCAATGTATACTTACATACTTGCTTCATCAGTTTACTTATTTTGCTCAATGTAACCAACCTCCCAAGCTCTTCAGCCTCACCCTTCATGTCCCCTCAGCCGTGGGACTTGCCACTACCTCTGCAGAGCGCCCTCTCACTAGGTTTTGATAAATGAATTCTAAAGTTCATCTAAAGAAAATATCTAAAGATAGTCAAGAAAATTTGGAAGACTATGAAAAGTCAGATATTTGCTCTACCCTATTTCATAAATTTTTCTAAATGATAATTAAATTAAACAGCATTGGGATAACATGCTACCTGTCTGGGAAAAAAATAACTGTGTTACAGACTCCATCTCATAATACCCATAAAAATAAACTCCAGGTGAATTAAAGAGCTAAACATCACACATACACAAAAAGCCATGGTAGTTCTAGAAGAAAACACTAACAATCCTAGGAAACCAAGCTGATGTTCAGTCTTGAGTTTCTAAATGCCATTCCTCACTAAAGGGAAACTGGGCTGCTTGGGAAAATGGCTGATTTTCCAAGGGGCAGGCAAAGCACGAGGTGTAAGCCTCCAATACTCCACTGTGCTGGAAAGCCAGGACATGCTCTCAGCCTAATGGACACATATCAAACCAGCCCCAGGGGATACTCGTGATTTTGTGGGACCAAACCTTTTTTCTTTCACTGTATTAGATAAATTAGCTCTCTAGCTCTGTGTTTACGAACATGGGTAAATTTGAGAAACAGTATACATGACAAAGACATGGTGTTTGAGACCACGGGTCTAAGTAGATGGGGGAGGGACTTAGGAGGCTCCAACTGCTCAATCTGGGTGATGAGTACAGAATGCTTTTTACAGTCTCTCTGTGCTTTTCTGTATGTTTGACATATTTTGCAAAGAAACAAAATCCTGGTGTTGTTCCCCACTCCCCCTGCCCCCACGAGTTTGAGAAAACACCACTGAGTTCACAGGATAGAATCCAAGATCCTTCAGCTTCTGACACCAATGGAATTTCCAGCTTCACCTCTCATAACCTCACTTCACACCTCCTACTCCAGTGACACTGAACTTCTCTCCATTCCCCAAATGTGCTTCCGACCTCCAGGTTTTTGTCCAAGCTGTTACCTGCATCTGCAATACTAGTACACTGCCCACTTTCACCCTGTGATTAACTCAGACTCTTCTGTGAACACATGCTCAAAGGTCCCTTCTGCGGTAGCCTTTTTCCAGCGAGTCAATTGTTCTTGTCTTTGCCCCCACAGCTCCTAGCAGCAGGGAGTAGTGGAAAGGGCACACATGGACTCTGAACCCACTCGGTCATGATTCCGAACTGGGTTTTGCAGCTTACTGCTAGTGAGATCTTGACCAGATTCTTTAAGCCTCAGTTTCCTCAGCTGTAGGACAGAAACGCCCCCGGAGTTTGCCCTTGGTAGGGTGAATGATACATTGCACTGTTCTGCCAAGACTTCTCCCCATACTGGAAGAAAGCACCATCTTTTTTTTTTTTACTGAAAATTTTGAAACACTGTGTAAGTCCAGAAAATGGCTAGAAGGGATACATACCAAAACAGTAACTAGAGGAAGGATGACTTCTTCCATGTTTGATTTCTTTTTAAAATAAGATATAGACATGTGTTAGCTACGTAAAATATTTTTAAGAAAAATTAAGTAATGTCATGGAAAGCTGCTAGCAGAACTCTGACTGGGACTGAAGCCGTGCGGGTGAGGAGGGATGGGAGAGGGCCAGCGAGGTTCGGGCTACACTCAGAAAGCAAAAGGAGGAGTAAGGAGGTCCCTGTCCTCAACAAGCCCACGTCTAACAGGGAAACATTTATACACACGTATATTCATCATTCAATGCACATCTGAGCAAACACTATACATTCCAGGCAATGATTCTAGGTTCTGGGGATACAGTTATGAACAAGACTCACAAAATCCCGACCTTCCATGAAAACAGCATTCAAATAGAGACAAAACAACTAACAAAATATATATATACACCAGGAACTAAGAAATGCTCAGAGAAATAAGGGAGGCGAAGGAGACAGAGAGAAGGAGACAGGGGAAAGGGTGGGATCTGAACAGGATGCTCAAGGCCAGCCTCCTTGAGGTGGTGATGTGTGAGCAGACGATCCCATGAGGTAAGGGAATAGATCACATGAAAACCTGTGGAAAACCAAGTGCAAAGGCCAGAGGCAGGAATGAGCCTGGAGACAAGAACAACAAAGGGGCAGGAGGGCGGGGGGGAGATGCAGCTAGAGAAAGGCGCCTGAGCACACAGGCCTCACTACTGTGGGGTCCACAGACCAGCAGCACTGCCGCCCAGGGCTTGT